CTTCCCGCCCCCCCCACAGTGGCCCAAATCCACAGATGCAGAAAGAAGCAGCTCTGCAAACAGCCATGACAGAGAGAGAGAGCGGGAGCGGGAGAAAGAAAAAGAAAGGGAAAGAGACAAAAGGGACTCTTCTATTGGGAAGGAAGAGAAGGATAAAGACAGGTTGGTGTTGTTGATTTCATGGACCAAGGCATCTTATTTTTGCCTTACATATTTGCCTAATTTTTGTCTTCTAATTCAACTAATGATGGGTTCTTTCCTCTTACAGAGACTCTTTAGATCGTAATCGCCATTCGAACCTGCTCTTGCATTTATTAGTCGCTTGCTAAGTAGGGTGGAAGGTTTGCCATATCTAATTTCCTCTCCCTTCTTCCTTCATTGGCTGAACGGGACTTCTTTTAGTGAAATTGATTGTATTGAAATAGAATCTCTATGGAACGCTTTGCTTTTCATAGCTGTTGACCCCGCTGGGACATTCATTTGTTCACTGCCCTCAAAAGCAGCCCTTGGTACCCCATTTGTAGAAGAAATTACTATACGCCATTAACCTTTCAGCTTGTGTATGCAGAACCTTGACAGAACTGAACAGCGGTCTGTTCAACTGATTATGTTTCTTGTTATTTCAGGGGCCAACAGTGTATTTGGACCCAAAGAGGGTCCAGGGCTGCCTGGTCTCAGTAGTCCTCATCATGACACCTGGAATCGGCTGCACCGAACACCACCCTCCTTCCCGACCCCTCCACAGTGGCCCAAATCCACAGATGCAGAAAGAAGCAGCTCTGCAAACAGCCATGACAGAGAGAGAGAGCGGGAGCGGGAGAAAGAAAAAGAAAGGGAAAGAGACAAAAGGGACTCTTCTATTGGGAAGGAAGAGAAGGATAAAGACAGGTTGGTGTTGTTGATTTCATGGACCAAGGCATCTTATTTTTGCCTTACATATTTGCCTAATTTTTGTCTCCTAATTCAACTAATGATGGGTTCTTTCCTCTTACAGAGACTCTTTAGATCGTAATCGCCATTCGACCCGCTCTTCTCCAGCTTCCGCTCCCGTTAGCTACCAGATCAGCAGCCTGATCCGCTCCAACAGCCAGAACTCGACCGACTCCGGCAGACACCGCAGCGGTAGTGCCGACCGCAACCGTGAGCCTGAGAAAGAGTTGCTGGACCGCCAGCGAGAGGCAGGCATTTTGGGAGACATAAAGGTGAAGGAAAGTCGTTCTCCAGGAAAGGAAATCACAGACAGACGTTCCTCAGATGACTCTCTTAAATCCATCCACCGATCGCCCTCTCCATACTCGAAAAATGTCCTTAACGATGCAGGAATCAAGATGGGTATCCCACAACCGCCACCGATGAAAGAAAGTGAGAGGGATAGGAAGGAGACCAGCTCAGGGGATCTGCTACAGAAGGTGAAGAACGACATGAAGATCAAGGAGGAACGCAAGGAAGAGCCAGACGTGATGGTGGTTGGATCCGAAGCTGCCACTAAACCTCAAGTCCCTCCCCCGCCTCACCAAACCACACCAATTGCTCACCACCCTGCGCTATCCCATCAGCCTCCTCCGCCGTCTCCTCGCTGTAGTGACCCTCCAACACCGTCCTCACTTCACGGCGTCCCCATGCCACACTCGTTGCCGCTCACTCTGAGTGCCATGCATCAAATAGGAAGTCTGAATGCACTTGAACGCACCCGCATGGCACCTTTTATGGGAGTCAGCCCTCTCGCAGCAGGTCGAGACCGCCTTCCTCATCCGGCGTATTGCTGGGATCCCCTACGAGAGGCTTACCGAAACCTTGACCTTCAACGGCGTATGGACTTCCAGCTGCGTTCTGAGCCCGGACACCGCTTCCCTGGTGTCTACGATCTAGAACGGCCATATCGGGATCGGGAGCCACATGACTACTCCCACCACGAACACCTCCTGGAATTTCGGCGGGAACAGGAGAGACTGAGGCAACAGGCTGAGGAAAGGGAACGGATGCATTTAAGGGAGGAACTAGATCGGGCAAGGCTCCACCAGCTTCACCAATCGCCCATCGAAGGACACTTACCCCACATGCCGCCATTTATGTCGCACCTTGGTGGGATGCCGTACCCAAGGCTTAGCCCTTCAACAGGACATAACGGACTTCTTAACCGGACACCCCCAACTGCAGCACTAAGTGCCCCTCCTCCTCTGGTACCCTCTGGTGCTGCCAGACCAGCGTCCCCAAGACGGACTACGCCAATCACCACCCAGGACCCTCGGGAGTACTCACCGTCACGCAACCCCAAAGAAGTGGAGGCACGGTAACATACAGAAAGAAGAATGCCTCATTTGAGTTGGACACTGGCAACATGCACTTATTTTCACACAAAGTAGAGTAAATGATAAATAGATATGTGTAATTTGTACAAATGTTTGTACCTTGGAACAAGCACATCAACCGGCTTTTTTAATTGATTGGAGTTGGGGAAAAGAGTTGGTAGCTCCAACTCATGGTAGCGTAAGACATAAATGTGAACTACCAACCAGAAATTTAATATTAATATATTAATCCGATGCCTTTTCAGTTTTTCATGTGAAAAGACATTCTGAAATTTGTTTGTACATTTCCTATCCCTCATGTACAGACATTTTTTTATGTATTTGCATTGTTTCATTCGTTCCCTGCCCTGTATTTATCCTAGTGAGCTGCTGGATATGGATGTCTACATATCTGAATTGGTATGATCTCAGCTGATTTGCTCTATGGTACCTGGAAATATTCAGCGGTGGCCATGTACAAAGTTACATTTTGGAGGGGGTTTTATTTGTTTGCTTGATTTTCTTTTTGAGATATGCAGACAAATATGTATTACGATATTCTTGTTTGGTTTATGTAAAGTTTAAAGATATTGTAAATATCTTGTTGATATTACTTGGAACGAAATGACATTGTACATTTGTTAGGCTTTTCAAATGTTTCTAAAAAAACAATGAAATGAAACAGAACCACTTCCAGGTTGAAAACCGTGGTGACGGAGTTGTCCAATCAGAGAGGAGGACTCGAATGGGGGTGCTGTCATGGCGGTGCAATCTATGCAAAGATGATTAAGAGTGTTCTGATTGGAAGGTTATAAAATGGAGTTCTAAAGTGGGAGCCTGGATAACTGTTATTCATTTGTCTAATGAAGAGCCAATGAAACAAACAGCTATAAACTTCCGGGTCATAAAGGAACTGCTTTAGCAGTGAACACTTCTCCAGCCACAAAACCTGGACATCTGAGAAACATATTGGAATGGTTGGGGTGGCAATAGACTCTTTCTGTCGACCTTGTGGTGTTGTGCAGTTGTTTTTCTTAGACTCTTGTATACAAAACAAGTAGAGCTTTAGGCGTGAAAAAATGAAAATGAACATTCATGGTTTAAAAATGTATGGAATAAAGGTTGGACCTTATATCTGCATACCTGTCTGCTATTTATTATAGACTTCGAGACTGGCTCACTGAATGTTGACGTATTGATGAAGTGTGCAAAGTTTCATAGACAAGCATGAATGAACTGCCTGGGTTGGAAGAACCGAAGCCTATTATAGCCATAAGTATTTTTTTCCATTTATTTTCATGATTAAGAAGCACATTTTACCTGCTACTCCAAAAGAAATTCTAATTTTTTTATACTGTAATACAGTAACGAGAATCACCCTGTCTGTATACAATGATTTGTAATATTATTTATCAAATATTATATATTTTTAAAAGATTATATATTTTAATTAATAAATAATTATATTGCAATAATAATAATTTTATAATAATAATTTTTATTCATTTTTATAATTTTATTTTAGTAATTACATATACTTACAAAAATAAATGCAACATTTACGTCAGTATTTTTATTTTATTTTTTTTACATACAGCAAATACTACCATGATTTCTACTTAAAATTGCACTCTACAATTGTACTTTACAATTTAAACATTTGCTACAAAAATACAAAAATTCCTAGAAAATAGGGTTCATTTTTTATGCCAAAAAAAATAGATGAGATTTAACCGGATTGCTTTTAAGATAAGATTCTTTGCTAAATATTTTACAAACAAAAAAACAAATTTTACAAATTTTAAACTGCATAAACCGACTGAGTGTGCTCCACAGTTGCTATTTACTATATTTTTACAGGAGAGAGCATTTATGTCAGCTGTGCTGTAGAGAGTAGGATGAGAGTGGTGATGGGACAGGCCTGCAACACGATATTGATTTTCTGCAAGTGCAGCTTTTGAGTGTTTGTGTTGCAGGTAACTGGTATTGACTCTGAGGCTAGTGCCGTATTGACCCGCGGTCGGGACTCATTAATGGGAGTGACGCCTGCTAATGAGCGAAGGATCAAGAAGCCGAGGAGGAAGAAGTGAAAGAAACCGAAAAAGAACAGACCAAAGGTTGTCTGTCCCGCAAATAAGACGACCAGTGGTTACTGTCCTTCTAGTATTGACCGTCTGTGCCTGTGTTTCTGACTTGCCATTTCTTTCTCCCGCTCTCTTCATCTTTCTTCTCCCCAACTGACAAACAATTCATCCTCATAACCATCCCTAACTGGCTCCATCTGGTGTGCCACGCTCAGCCCTGCCCTCGGTCCCGGCCCTCACCTCGAGTAATGGCAGCATGCGTCAGGCAGTGTGCAGTCATTAGTGATGTTATTGAGAATCGATGGTCTCCCCGCTGCGTCTGGCAGCCTATCTGGACGTGCTGCTTCAGAGAGGTCCATCGCTGGAGAGAGAGATGGACGGACTGGGAAAGCTGCCGTGAGGTGTATTGGAAAGAGAGTTAAATCGGGATCCGTTTCAATTTGGCCATGCTGTAATTGAGAGGGTTATTCCATAGACACCGAGCATCTGTGCCTCCCTGGCCCTCTGCTGTCTCCCTCTAATCAGCTAGTTAGCACTTTCCAGACCTGGACTGGATAGAGAAACCAGAGAGAAAGTGTTCACATTTAGATTTTCTTTTCAAGGCCCTGCAAAGATGTTTAACAGACGTGTTTGGGTGATTAGCCAATATACTATCAGGCTGCAAAGAGCATTATTCAAAAAAAAAAAAACAGTCTACATTTTTTTTGCTAGCAACATTTAAGCGATAACGGACCGCTCTCTCCATAGAGCTTTTTGATTGGAAAACAGTCATTATTTTTGCAGCCTGCGTAGTGGAGCGGAAATTACACACTTGACTTATCTTTCATACTGGCACTCGGGCCAATTATCTGAGTATAAAATAAAGTAGGACACATTTTTAACATTAGCATTCTCAATTTCAGCCTATAATTTCCAAATCGCCTACATTTTACCTGTTCAGTGAAAATGTGCCAAATTATAGCCCAATAAATAAATATCTCTTATATAATTTACTACTATTAAATGTAAATTTGCGTTTTACAAATATATCAGTTTTATGTTTGAAGATTAGCGATTTGCAGTCTAATGTGGTGCTATGTGTCAAGTACAGTTTTTAAAATGTTACATTTATTTTTATGTAACTATTATGTAATCCTTGAACCCTACACTGTAAAAAGTAATGAGTTGAACTTACTTGGAAAACCTGTGGAAACTGATTGCCTCAAATTTCTCAAGCAAATTAGTTTATCATTTTTGAGTTAATAAAAAAAAACCTTAACCATTTCAAATTGTATTCACTCTAAGACTGTATTCATTGTTCTTTGCACCAGACAATGGAAACATACCTTTAATCCAACAAACTAGATGCTCTTAAGTACTGTTTACTAAAATTGTTTAGTTTAACTATTGCATCCACCTGAAAGTTCACATAACACAGTGTAACTAAGTAAATTCAACAAATTTGTAAAAATCAGTTATGTTTACTCGCTTTTCTTAAGTAGATTCAGTGATTACTTTTTACAGTGTATCTGGCTCATTTACCTGAATTCCTGCTCAGTATAAATATAGGGTAACACTTAGGGACAGATTCTCACTATTAACTAGTTGCTTACTAGCATGCATATTACTATATGTGACCCTGGACCACAAAACCAGTCTTAAGTGTAAATTTTTCAAATCTGAAAGCTGAATAAATAAGCTTTCCATTGATGTATGGTTTGTTAGGATAGAACAATATTTGGTCGAGATACAACTATTTGAAAATCTAAATTGAGATTTATGCATCATCTGAAAGCTGAATAAATAATCTTTCCATTGATGTATGGTTTGTTAGGATAGGACAATATTTGGCTGAGATACAACTATTTGAAAATCTGGAATCTGAGGGTGCAAAAAAATCTAAATATTGAGAAAATCATCTTTAAAGTTGTCCAAATTAAGTTCTTAGCAATGCATATTACTAATCAAAACTGAAGTTTTGATATATTTACGGTAGGACATTTCCAAAATATCTTCATGGAACATGATATTTACTTAATATCCTAATGATTTTTGGCATAAAAGAAAAATCGATAATTTTGACCCATACAATGTATTGTTGGCTATTGCTACAAATATACCCCAGCGACTTAAGACTGCTTTTGTGCTCCAGGGTCACATATTGGCTGTTTATTAATACTTTTAAAGCATTTATTAACACCTTATTCTGTATGACCTATTTAAAATTCATTAATCGTACCCATACTTAAACTTAACAACTACCTTACTATTATTAAGCAGCAAATTAGGAGGTTATTGATGCAAAAGCCATAGTTCATAGTTAATAGTAAGAATTGGTCCCCAAACTAAAGTATGAGCAAAAATAGAGTATAATTTTCTGACACAAGCAGAAGTGGATGTTAAAATTCATGTTGCTAGAAGTCATCTTAATGAGTGACAGAAATCTAAGAAGAAAAAATATACTAAACTTTATTAAACTTAAAATTTCATCTAGTGGTGGTATCAGGTGGTAATACTACGTTACCATGAAAATATACAGTATAAGATTTACTCCATAACTGTACTACTGTATATTGACCAAATCCTTTGCAGACCATATAACACAGTGAAGCACTGACCTCAGATGGAGTACATTCCTGCCTGAAGTGATAGAATAGCATCTCTCTACACCTCTAAATATACTGCCACAGACTCGGCACTCCAGAAATGCGGTCTGACTCGGAGTGCCTCTGGAAAGATACCCATCCACTGCAAACAGGAGCATAGGAGGGAATGGAATGGAAACAAATAATCGTTCATTCTAAAAACAAGCAAGCCACTGACATATGATGACACAGAGGGATAAAATGAGAAAGCTGTAAAGATGTAAAGTAGTCAGGAAAAGATGGAGAAGGGGGAAAGGAGAGAGAAAGAGAATTCCAGACCAACTGAGCCCCAGCAGCTAAATCATTTTTCCACTTTCATTCATTTTTGAAATGATTTTTTTCCTCTTTCTTCATGCCTCGGTGAAAGCTCGCTGCCTGACTCCTCACACTCGCATACACAGGCATCATTGTGTATACAAACCGTAAAAGCCGATGAGAATTTATGCAGCTGGGTTCGTCTGGCAGAGATGGAGGTTACAGTGGAGAGAAGCTGGCGTGATATTAAGACGACCTGCAATCTGCACAGATTGAAGACTAGATCGGTGGAGACAGATGCTATGCTCAATAGAGAAGGAGAGTAGAAGAAAAGCTTTCTCGTACACTGACTTTTCAATTTGTTCAAACATAATGTCAGGGTTTTTCTGCACCGAGGGGTTAAGGTTTGACTGTTTAGTACGGCCCTGTTAGCCCCTGATGGTAACGCTCACAGGCAAAAAGCATCTTGCTCCATTGACTGCTTGAAAAATAGCTGTGTATTTTGACTAAACAACATTTGTGCAAGCAACATATTACATTATAGTAGATGTTGGATTCATGAATAATTAATACTAATGGATAGCTTTCTTCAGGTAATATAAGCCTCTCTGATCTGCACTGAAGATCATTTGGGCTCTCCATTGGGAAGCTAGACTTCTCGCATCAAACAGTGAAACTACGATTTATTCTTTCAATCTATAAACACTGACCCCGTCTGTTTGGGCACCACACATGGAGAAGATTGTTTAAGGTCTAAGTTGTCACATTCAATGAATTATTACATATAATCTAAAGGACGGACCACAAACTACATTTTTCAGTTAATGTTGTTTATGTATCTAATTTGTTTTATTCTATTACTTCATATTTCTGTTCATCTTCCATATCCATGCCAATTTGTATCCAAGCAACACAAAACCTGTTTTTCAAATTAAAAACGTGCTAGTGATAATTTTTTCTTAACGGCGAAGAGAAATTTGTTGTTGTTTTGATTGAACAAAATACGATACAGAAGATCGTGTTTAACTTTCAACTTTTTCTTTTTTTTATTAATTAGTGGCCCAAACCTAAGAAATGTGCACTCAAAGGTCTGTTCAAGACATAATCGTTCAAAAGTCTGGAGTTGATTAAATGTGCAAATCCAGCGTCGAACTGGGCCTTGTTTATAAAA